TCTGGAACGCGGCTTCAGCATGCCATCCATGATGGGAACTCCCGCTTCTTTCACCAAGAGCGCGACAGAGCTCTGACCGCGCTCCGGTCGCGTGGGGTTATCCACTGCGACAGTGAGTGGCGTAATATGCTGTGGGATGACCTGAATGGCCGCTTGGTTGTCATTGACCTAGAAGATGTGGAATGGTTGAAGCGCGCTAGGGCCCTTGAATCCGTCTCTGCGAATACGCGGCGTATTCGCTGCGTCAGAGTGATGAAATTTAAGCCCGGCTTGGAAAGGGTGGAAATTCCGCAACACGGCAGTACCTTGAGCTTGTAACAGTCTGTCCGAGAACGTTGCAAAGCATTCCACGACAAGACGTTGTGCCTTTATCTTACACCGAGTACTAAATACACATTCTGCAACACGAACAAGACGAACCATACATGTCACCAGAGCCCAACTGCACGGCAGGTTTGAGCGGCGGACTTATTTACACGACCTTCCCAAGCACTGCTGCTAGAGATACACCCCATCAACCATCCCCCGTCGACCGGAGTCCTTCGAAAATCTTTTATTCGATTTCACAGCTAGCTCAAGTGTTTAAAGCTCACTTGGTTGGCATCCGCCTCAGCAAGATTTCATGTGCAGCTGCTACGATGTTTTTGATCTGGCTCATGTTAGTCAACAAGTGAGAAGAGCGCAGCAGCACTCTTGCACCCACCTCACGTCAATATAGAGCCAAAGACTCCAGTCGTTGAAGGTCGTGCTCCACAATGGCAGGCCCCTATACGAGCTTTCGGAGGATGGTCACAAGACGATTGTGAGTTGGTAAGATGTACGCTGCTCCATGACCGCATTTGCCTCAATCAAGAAAAGCAGGGCACTAAAATGTTTGGCGATCTTGAAACTGCGTCAAGATGTTGCTCAAGCGCAATCGAATCGCCGTGGTCGACAACAAGTTCGCCTGCAGATATCTGAAACATTAGCACCGCCACAGCTAGCGCTACGGGGGTTCTTTACCGAATAGAGAGGAAGATTGAAATATTCCGAGGTTGCCTCGACTGTGAAGGTCTTCTTAACGCCCGGTGGACCACTAGCACGAGTTAGGCCCGGGGTCTTGATCGGGTACAGACACTTTACCGACGTACTTCCGAAGGATGGTGAGTACTTGGCCTTTTCCATCAATTACGTCGTCGAACGGTACCGTCGGTATCAGACCCGGGCGGGTTTTCGCCAGTGACAAGAGCAAGGTCTTGTCATCGGAAGGGATCTGCAGGCAGTCGAAGGATTCGGGTGACCAATCCATATCTCCATGAGCACTGACTGCGCACTCCACTGGATTCACGTCAGTCAGACGCCAAGCAATTGTCAATCGTGTTACATACCGAACATCTTCTTGAAGCTGAACCAGCATACTGTTGGGCAGGCGACCAAGAAATCGGTCTCCTGTTCTGACGCTCTTCATGGAACTTGTACTTGCCGATCTAGACCCCAGCCTGTGTCCCCCATGCAAAGTCTTCGTATTCCCTGGGTTCAGTCCAATTATTTGGCTCGCTTTCGACATACATATCCGAGGTCGGCAGGGTTATTCTACTCGCTTGGCGCTACCTGGAGCGGATACGTCCATGAGGTAGGGCCGCTTGATTTATTCCCGCAGGTTCCTGCATGTCGAATGGCTCCCTTGTTTGACTAAAAAGGCGCCAACGACCTAGAGAAGTGCAGGTCAGGCATTACCTCGCGCTGAACGGCCTCTTGGGCAACTGTCCCAATACCAGTTGGAGGGCAAGGGCTCAACCCACTCACCTATTCTCTTGTTACTCTCTTTTCCTGGGCAGAAAGAATACCTCACAGTTGACACGAATGCTATAGATCCGACCGTGGATCTCTCGTGCTGATCTGATGAATCCGTATCAACCGCTCGTTGGATCATCTGACAGCGATCGAATGGATGATGTCGGGGAAGCGTCATTCTGGCGAAACCGACCACAGATTGGACAGACGATCTCAACGACACAGAACGGGTGCTGAAGTTGCAGACCAAGGAAGACAGGAGCCAACGTCCCACGAATCCGTTACGATGTGATACATGAGATCCTCGTTGTCAACCCGCCCACACACTCCATTGGTATAGCTGGCCTTATAAGGGGACAACAATGAGACCAGGGTGTGATTTGGGTTTGGACTACGCGTCTGCCGCGCGTGTGCAGCGATCCGCACCTTGTATCAGGCTGCGGAAGATCAACTGGTTTTGACGGTGTTGGATGACGGCGGTTCGATCCTTTCTCCCCTCTAACCCGACCAAGAAGGCGCTTCTGTGTGAGATCCCTGCGGGGAGTTGCCTTTACAACGGGACCTTCAAACTCGTGCGTCGCCAGTGAAGATGAGAAGCGATGAAGGCAGGATCTGAGGGCCATCATCGACTTTTGTGTGATCAAATCCGTCCTCGCTATCGTAATGAATCCCCTGTTTCCCTTCCCATTGTCGGTACATTTCTGTCTCAAGCGAAACGAGCTGAAGGATGCGACTTTCATGAGTTCGCGAGGCGACCGACCCGCTCAACCAACTTGGTCCAAGCGCCAAGTTACTTGAAATCCGAGAATTTGACCCTCGCAAGCGTTGTGGCGTCCTTACGTCGACGACAGAAACGGGTTACATTCGCTTTGGAGATGCCTTTCAGGTGGATAAGGAACGAGGAGATAACTGAGAAGCCCTGAGGCACGCTTCAGCGACCCTGTGGGCTGGCCCTCCTGATGAGGTGATAAGGTACTGCTCGACGCAGATCTCCGTTCAAGTGAGGCCATGTACGTGTTTAGTGTGATCGACAGGTTGCATAACATTATACTGGCCCTAGTGCCAGCTAACAATCGCTGAGCACCAGATTGACTGGCAGTCATGGCCTGTTTGCGGGGTTTTCATTGGTTGCGGTTACACTGTTTGACACGTGTCCGCCTCCCCGTGCGTATACTGATCCAGATGCTGAACCTTGATATCTTTACTCTCAACTACGACATTCTTTCCTAGAAGCGGAAATCCAGACAGATATGTAAAGTTTTATCTTTAGTGTTAAGCGTCTTGCAGAAGGTTATCTTCTACTTTCTTTTGGGGACTTTGTGCGACGGCGGAGCGATTTTTTGCCGAAGCCTTGCCGCCCCAACGAGACGCGCGCGTTGGGACTACGCGATGTTTCGGATATTGAGCCAAAGCAGCATATATTTTAACAAGACCGTGTTGTCTGTAAATCTGGACACTATGCAGCATTCTGCCGATGCGAAAGCGAAGACAAACTCCAATGTTATATTCCAACTACACGCCCGCTCCTTGAGGTCGCCACGGACCTGTATGATGAATGGCCTCTAAATTGCGGCGAAATGTCCCATGCCACGATGCTTTGTTGACAACTCTACGAATTATGCGAAGAGCCTCTATGAACAAGCACAGCTAAGCATTAGGCGACAAGAACTACGTTGTAAAATATAGGAATGAAAACTGGAATCTGCATATCTACTTGTTGGAAGGGTCAGAACGATTGGTGGGAGGGAGGGGAAGAAGCGGCTTCAATGGCGGTCCGGGTGAACGGCCCTTTTACAGACTGCGCGTTATTTGTCGCAATTATAGCAGCACCTTGACTATTACCATGACTGCAGAGGTGGCTACAGTATACTTACTTTTGAGAACTCATTATACTAGGCTTCAGTGGAAAATCTTTCTACCTGATAGTCCTTTCTCCGTCCTGGATTTCGGGTTCTTGAGAAAGTTGATTACACATACGTAACCGGGGCCGAAAATTTCCCCGTAAGCTAGCGTATCTTGAGAGGCATATGATTGGGCCATTAGCACCATGCTATATTCGATAACATCTCCCCCTGGAAACCACCCCCAGCCAGTATCTTGTCCGACTTCTTCCTGCCACACTGAGAACGGGATACAGTCACACTTATCTGCTTTTCCTTGCACTGGTTGCTATCAACAGTCAAGAAACGCTTTATTATGTATTTCTGAGCCAGCGACGCAGATTGATCCAATGAGCAACACATCTGCTTGCTTTATATTGGGTATAGAGAGACGGAAAGGGATTTTTTGTAAGTTTCGCCAGCATCGGATCTCGTAATTGACACGCGCAAAAACGATGTGACCGCGCACATATTGACACGGCGTAATTCGATAGATGCACATCTTACGAAGCAAAGTACCCTCTTGCGTATCCACTTACAGTTCATTACACCAGCAGTAGGACTAGTTATAATGGCCAACCAAAAGCGTCGTCTCAGAGCTTACCGTAGTCATTTGTTCTTCTGCGCCCGGTAACTTAGAGCGTCCCCTCACCATGACGGGATAAAATCTGCACATTTACCACCCTGTCATTCTCTAAGTGGGCCGCTTATACTGGAAGCCTGAAAAGAGGTCCTTGCATTGGTACTAGACCGAGGTAATGAACTTTACACACCAATAACGACAAGCAGTGAGCCAAGGCTCCTAGTCGTACAATTTCTTCCCAACGTTATGGAAGGCCCAAGCGCGACCTAGCTCCTGAAGGACAAAGGAAGACTCGTGCGACACTTAAATAACGTTTTGCTCCTCCGAGAATCTCTGCATGCATTGCTGCCGTACTGTTCACTAAGTCATACAAGTGGGGACCAATTAAACCATTCGTCGATAGTACTCAACACTTTTGTTACAATATCCTCAACTCAGAATTCGGAGATGAATATGACTCCCAGCCACAGGAATCCACATCAAGACGTAGGTTCACGATATTTTAATGCAAGCATCTGCCGCTGATCCGATTTTGCTAAGCTCCTCTAGCACTCTAATTCTGTTGTCCAGTGTTCACGGGGTATGTTCTCTCAATGGCACCATTTGGTTGAGGCAAGCTATCCTAAACGAAACTCTAGCCACAGACAGTGGGAGCGGCTGTGTCATACTGGAAAAATATAAGCACAATTGGGAACCCCCCTGACCAGGACTGATGGTTCGTCCCTTGTCGTCAATAGGGACGTGGTTAACGGACAAAAACAGTCGAAAATGAGCAAACATCATCTCCAAGGTGGTTCCGTAACGAATGGGAGTGTATTTGTCAACGGGGATCTTGATTCCAAGACCTTTCTCGAAATCTTCTGCCACAGGTGATTATTTTTTAAATTACTTTAGTTTG